TTTAACCAGGTAATTAGGTAGATACTATGTTTGGTAGATGTGTAATGCTGTTTTATTTGTGTTACAGACGTGCAATGGAAAAGGAAAATTTAATGAGGAAGTGTTCCCCACTTCAGGGTGGCCAGACTCGAGCGTCACTTGTCACTAAGCTGGACCTTACAGGTGACAGTGATGAGGAAGACATTTCGGTGGTTAATTCACTCGCCCCAGCTCATCCCAGTAATACTTCTACAGGTACTGAGGGAACTGACTCAATGGAGGCAATCCACGATACAAATGAAGCAGCCCACAACGCAAGGGAAGTAACTAACAACACAAGGGAAGTAACTCACAATACAAGGGAAGTATTTAACAACACAAGGGAAGTAACTCACAATACACGACAACTTGAACGTGAGCTTGACAGTACCATGCCAACTGATCACCTAATGTCTAACAGACGGGATGCAGGACAGCAGATCACCCGTCTGCCTAGAGACATTTTTGACATTGGGAGACAGGACATGATATTCAGGAATGAGAGTAATTATTCTGAGGAGTATGATTCCATGTCAAGTAGTGGGGACTCAGTGGAGCTGAGCAGTACTGCTGAACTGCTGAGTGCGAGGGTAGGTGCCCTGGCCCTGGACGTGTCCGGTCAGGACCACTCTGGTGTGTCCAGTGGAGATAGTGTTGTGTCTGACCAACTCAACAGGTCAAGCCCTGGCAATGCAGCTGACATCAGCAACAATGTATGCCAATCTTATAGTGCTAATTATGATAATAATGACTCTGTGAATAAAAGTGCTAATCAAAGTGAAAATGACAATGACTGTGGATCCAAGAATGGTTGTGATCCTGATTATATACCAAAGTGTTCACCAGTAGTGATAGAAGACAGTACCAGTTCTGAGTGTTCGCCGGAGACGGAACGCCCCCTTGCTCGTGACCTTCTGTCACCCTTGCCTCGATTCCCAGTACTTGACAGTTCTCGAGGGACTGGTTACACGCCAGACCTGCTGCCAGAGGACTCAAGTAGCTTTCGACACTACAATGAATACTCGTCTCTCAACCTTACAGATTCCAACCTCTCCAACGATACCTTCTCAACCTCTGATGACAGTGAGGACTCGGGTGATGAGGAGGAGGAGGAGGAGGAAAATGACACAAGTCCACTCAAACGATTTCCTGGCAATTGGAGACCAGAGGCGGCGCCATGTGACATGTTGAATGTACCAGAGGGCAGCTATGCTGGTGTTTGTGAACATCATGATGGATCAAACCTAGGTAAGGCAATACTTACTAGTTAAGACCTAAATTGTAAAGAGGAAATATTTGTTGAAAAATTTGTTTAGCAATTTTAATTTTTTGAAGTATGAAGATTATTGAATTTTGAAGTAGTGGTCAAGTTCTGTATAAATCATATTCAGATCTGTATCTGTTTCACCCTTTAACAAAATCTACCTGACCATTTGTTATTTTGATATCATGTTGTAGGTATAATATTGACTGTTTTGTGTTTTACAGGAATAATTTTCCAGGTGAAGCGCGTACAGATGGAAGGCGGACAGTTTGTGTATTGTCTGTGGGTGTCCCGGGACCCAGAGGATCATCCTGACACGTCACACTCGTATACAAACCTCACTCTGGCCTCCAGCTTCAACAGCACCATGGACCGGTCAGTTGGCGAGGTATGTACAGAAGGGATGGGGGGTCAATGAGACGGGGGAAGGCATCCTTAATTATTATATTAAAAGAATGAGTCTCAGACAAACAACTTTTGTTTGGGGGGTCGACAGACTTTTTAATCTTACAGCAGAGAAAATCTTACAGCTAAAGGACTGGTAAAAGTTGAGAGAACAAAACAATTAAAAAAGACATTTGCTCCAATATTTTTAAGAGGTGTGGATCTGTCAATGTTTGAGATTTTTCCATACTTAAATTTTGATTTTGTCTGTTATAATTCTAGCATTATATTTTCCAGTTTACAATAGTGTTTTGAGATGTCACTGACTGTTATGCTTGGTTTTCAGTGTCTAACAGACTCCAGACTAGAGGAGAGAGAGGAGGAGGAGGAGGACGAGGAGAGCGATCAGCAGGAAGACGAGGAGGGAGAGGGTATGGAGTACAATCTATCCTCAGGGCGAGGGTTGTACGATATCAAGTATGAGACCCTCTCCTCCATAGGCAAGGGAGCGTTTGGTTTTGTGAAGCTGGCATGTTGTCGCACCAACAACACACACGCTGTTGTTAAGTTCATCAAGAAGAAAAAGGTGCTGAATGAGTGCTGGACGGTAGACAGGAAGTGGGGCCGAATTCCACTCGAGGTCAGCCTCCTCACAAAGCTTGACCATCCAAACATTGTCAAGGTAAGTCCATCGGTAGCTGTGACCAGGGTTATTGTGATAACTTTGTCTTTGTTGATTGTGATAATTTTGTCTTTTCTGCTAAATGTACCAACCTAGAGGTCAACATTAAATGCATACAGAAACTATTACGAGGAACAAATAGACTAGCACAGAACTCAAAAGACTGAAAGTTTCTTGTGTTAGACAAGTAGTTATTTTTGTTAGACCAGTTGTTTGATACTGTTGTTCCACATATCATGAAAATCATTTCACTAAATGCACAGTTATGTTAATCCTAACGCAACTGAGATTTCATTTGAAGAAAAATCTTTTATTTCTAATAACATGTTAAATTTTATAACAAAACATGTTTTAAATCTAAATCAAATGATGTTTTTATCATTGTAGGTGGTGGATGTGTTTGAGAACGAGAACTTTATACAGATGGTCATGGAGAAGCATGGAAGTGGGATGGACCTGTTTGAGTTTATAGATCGTAGTCCTCTGATGGACGAGAGTCTGGCCAGCTACATCTTCAGACAGGTCAGTATTTTCTGCACTGAATAAAAATAATCAGTTATTTCATTCTGCTTGCATTATTACCAATGATAGGACTTTTGTTGTTGCTTGGTGAGGTTAATCTGTGTCGGAGGATTGCTTTCAATGTTACAAACACTTTCTGGACTAATATCAATTGATTATTGTAACATTTTGATAGCTAGTGTCAATACATTTTTGTTTCTGTTAAGGTTTTGCACTAAAACCAGTAACAATAAAAAAGGGTATGTGGTATTATAGATTTACTGTCGTGACCGTACATAT